TTAATTCTCTAGTTTGAATTAATTTCTATTTTCTTTCTTAATATTGTTTTTGAATTGAATCTATATTTCTATTTTGAAATATTCATTATCATTAATATATTTTTTTCTTATATTTGGTAGTTTGATATAATATATTAAATACTTGTTATTAACTATAATCCATCTTTAATATACAACCATATCACAAGTAATGTTTTCATGTTTGGATTATCATTTTACTATTTTTATTTACTAATGCCTAAAAAAAAACAATTTTATGTAATTCAAACTTTTCACTTATCTCATTCTATATATTTTTTTTTTTAAAATACAAATCATAATTTTTCTTGGTTTTGTTCTTATTTAATGATTCATTGTGGTGAAATTTTTTGTTGTTGATTCTTCTTTTTTTAAACTCCTTTGAAACACTTCTATTATCTTTTTAGTTTACTTATATCTTATTTTTTATTTTAATACGTTTGGAACATTACTCATACACATTGTGGTTTTTGCTCCCTGATATTAATTCTGTAACAAACTAAATCAATTTTAAAATGATAAAACAAAACCTTCAAAAAAAGTATTACGTTATTATTACACTAATTTTAAACAAATTCCATGAAACATATCTTATCTCAAGCTGGATTTAATACTTTCTTTTTTAATAAAAAAAAGTGTAAGTAAGTAAGTAAATCAATAAAAAATCATTTCATTTTTGTTCATCTACTGGTAATGGACATTTTTGAACATTCCATACATTTGAAGCATACTCTTCAATAGATCTATCAGATGAGAATTTGCCCATACGAGCAACACATCTAATACATTTAGTGGTCCATTCTTGTGGATTTTTCCAAACTGAATCAATATGTTCTTGGATCTTGACATATCCATCAAAGTCTCTACAGACCAAATAATAATCACTTCCTCCACGGAATTGGTCAATAACAAATTTGTGAATTGAAGCATCACCAAACATTCCGTTATCAATAGCGGCTAATACCTCAGCAAGGTCTTTACTAATTGGAATTGGATTAGCACGAATTCCTGCAACTTCATATGCCTTAGCTCCAAACATAAACATATTTTCTTCTCCAACTTCTTCTGCAATTTCAACATTAGCACCATCCCATGTACCAACAATAAGTCCTCCATTCATAACAAACTTCATACAGGAAGTTCCAGATGCCTCATATCCAGCAGTTGAGATTTGTTCATTAATATCATTTGCTGGAATAATAACTTCTGCTAATGAAACACTGTAATTTGGAATGAAAACAACCTTTAATAAATTTCCTACTTCTGGGTCATTGTTTACAGTATCAGCAACGGAATTAATCAATTTAATATTCCTTTAGCCATATCATATCCAATAGCTGCTTTACCTGCAAAGATTTTGACTCTTGGAACA